GGAGGGTCAGAGGGAGAAGCAGGCTCCTCGCTGAGCAGGGAGCCTGATGCGGGACTCGATCCCGGGACTCCAGGATCATGACCTGAGCCGAAGGCAGTTGCTTAACCAACTGAGCCACCCAGGCGCCCGGATGAAGCACTGTCTTATCCCCAATTCACAGACATGAAAACTGAGGCCTGGACACGGGGGCAGACTCAGGTTCTACCCTCCAGCTTGTGGCCTTGGGCTGGCTGCCTTTCCCCTCTGTACCTTGGTTGCCTTCTCGGTGATATTGCCTGCCTGCTGGAGCACTGTGCCTCAAATATTTCTTGATCACCACTGCGCCACGGTTGATGAGGGGCTTCGCATCTGCAGAATGAATGGGCCAGGAACACACTAGGTGTAGGGGCACGGCCAGACATGCATCTCCCTCCCCAGGGTGACCACAAGGGGCTGTAGGCCACAGCATAAGGAGTTCTTAGGACTTTCCAGAAGGGGAAAAATGAAGCATACATTAAAAGTAGAATATTCAAAGATCATAGCTTGGGGGTTTCACTATAAATAGAACATGAGCACCATGTAGGAGTGAACAATGTCTCTCTGCCAAATTCATGTGCCCACAACAAGTAGGGGTGAGTTTCTTCTGGCTGTCATAACAAAGTAGCACAAACCAGATGGCTTAAAACAACAGAGATTTATTCTCTCACAGTTCTGGGGCCAGAAGTCCAAAATCAAAGTGTGAACAGCCACAGTCCCTCTGGAAATTCTAGGGGAGGATCCACGCGTTTCTTGGCTACGACCACCTCACTCCGGTCTCCACCTCCGTGTCCACATGGCCTTCTGCCTGTGTGTGTCTCCTCTTCTGTCTCTCTTTTTTTTATTTGACAGAGAGAGAGATAGCGACAGCAGGAACACAAACAGGGGGAGTGGGAGAGGGAGAAGCAGGCTTCCCGCTGAGCAGGGGGCCCAACGCAGGGCTCGATCCCAGGACCCTGGGATCATGACCTGAGCCGAAGGCAGACGCTTAACGACTGAGCCACCCAGGCACCCCTCCTCTTCTGTCTCTTATAAGGACACTTGTCATTGGATTTAAGACCTACCTACATAATCCAGGATGATCTCATCTTGAGATTTTTAATTACAATTACCTCTGCAAAGACCCTGTTTCCAAATAAGGTCACAGTCACAGGTTCTGGGTTTAGGACTTGGACATCTCTTTGGGGGCCACCACTCAACCCACTACAACAGAATAAAGGGTTAGAGTGATAGTTCTCAACTGCCCCTTTGGGACACTGGGCAATGTCTGGAGACATTTTTAATTGTCACGACTGAAAGACGGGGTTGCTCCTGGCATCTAGTGGATCAAGGCCAGGGGTGGGCTAAGCATCCTACAACACACAGGACTGCCCCCCACCCCAAACAATGAGCTAGCCCCAAATGTCAAGGGTGCCACAGTTTGGAAATCTGGGATAAACAAAGCCCCAGTCAAGTTGGACTTGGCCCTGCAGCCCCACACGCGTCATTCACTGGATGACTTGGCTTTGAAAATCAGTTTCTCTGAGGCTCTCTGCTTCACCTGCACAATGGAATAAAATCGTACAAACCTGGTAGGGCTGTTCCGAAAACAGGAGCCTGGCACCTCATAAAGATTATAGGAGAGTTCTCCACTACTGAGATCATTACGCTCTCAGTGCATCTTGCATTCACAACACAGCCAGACTTCCTGGGGTTCTGGTAGGGTGAGGAAAATCTGACCAGGAAATTGTTTCTAAGCAGAATGTAACAAGGACACATTAGGAATGAGCCCATTCACAAAGCCTGGACAATATGAATTAAATCTGGAGAATGAGGATTTTGTGATTTCCTTTTTATTTTTATTTATTTATTTATTTATTTATTTATTTATTTATTTATTTATTGGAGAGAGAGAGAGAACAAGCGAGAGCACGTGTACATGAGCAGAAGGGGCAGAGGAAGAGGAAGAGAGAGAGAATTCCATGAGGAAGAGAGAGAGAATCCCCAACACAGGGCTCGATCTCATGACCCTGAGATCATAACCTGAACTGAAATCAAGAGTCAGACATTTAACCTACTGAGCCACCCACGTGCCCCATTCTTTTTTATTGTTTAAAGCCAACACGAAGTTCCTTTCAGAGTCTCTCATGTTTTCCTAGGCCTGGAAAGATCCTCTAAACCTGGTGTACTAGTTAGCTATTGCTGTGTAACAAATCACCCCAAATTGGAGTGGCTTCATACAACAGGGATCGACTATTATCAGGACCCCATAGGTTGCCTGGGCAGTCCCTCTGCTGGACTCGGCTGGCTCAGGCAATCTGCTACAATCTGCCAGTGGCTGGACTGGAAGATCACATGTGTGGCAGTTGGTGCTGGCTGTCCCGTGAGCGTCTAGTTCACCTCTGTGAAAATTAATGAAGGGAAATCTCACTGAAATGCAGTTGAAGGCCAGAAGGGGGAGCTCTCCTGCCGGTACCACTCCCACTTCAATTACAGGAAGAGATGTCAATTATAGACCCTTAACAGAAGAATCAACAGGAAGGAATTATCATTCATAGACCCCAACAGGAAACTGTGGACATTGCATCTGCTATTAGAAATTGACTACCCAAGCAACTCCGCCAATGAGAAACCATCATCAGCCTGAACTCCTGCTTCTCCCCAATGGACTTCCCTTCAAAACAACCCCTCCCAACTTCCTCCTTCTCCATAAAATCCTCTCCTTTGTTTGTTGGACAAGCCTATGGTTTTTGCCAGTTTGCTGGTCCCGAATTGCAATTCTCTGCTATTCCTGAACAAGCCCATTTTTGTTGGTAAAATAATTGACTGTTTTAATTTTAAGGTCAACCAACACCTCCATGTGGCCTCTTATCCAATAAGCTAGAACAGGGGTCTGCAAACTGCAACTCACCAGCCAAATCTGGCTCACCAGAAGCTGAGAATGGTTTTTACATTTTGGAACGGTTGAAGAAAATCAAAAGAGTAATATTTTATGACACACGAAAATTCTATGAAATTCAAACTTCAGTATCTGTAAATAGAGCTTTATTGGAACCCAGACACATAAATTCATTTACATATCGTTCAGAGCCACTTTTGCAAGACCGTGGCAGAATTCGAAGTTGCAAGAGACCCTATGGCCCACAAATCCAAAAGTATTTACTACCTGGCTCTTTACAGAAAAGCTTTGTCAACCCCTGGGCTAAATCAGCTTCCTTACCTGGGGCCTCTGGAGGCAGCCTTCCAAGAGAATGAAAATGGGAAGCGAGGATAAGATTCATCCTCCAGGGGCGCCTGAGTGGCTCAGTCGGTTAAGCGTCTGTCTTCGGCTCAGGTCATGATCCTGGGGTCCTGGGATCGAGCCCCGCATCGGGCTCACTGCACGGTGGAGAGCCTGCTTCTCCCTCTCCCTCTGCCTGCCATTCTGACTATCTGTGCTCTCTCTCTATCTCTCTGTCAAATAAATAAATAAAAATCTTAAAAAAAAAAAAAAAAAAGACTCATCCTCCAAACTCACACCTCATGCGCACCACATTCTCTTGTTCAAGCAAGTCATGAAGCCAGTCCAGATCCAAGGAAAGGGGAACTAGTCTCCATCTCTTGATAAGAGGGGGTTGCAAAATACTGTGGCCATGATTTTCATCCTTACCAAGGGATCTTAAGGTGGGCTGTCCCGACTGAATTGAGGAGGGTGGAGAAAAAAAAAAACCCACAGATTTATTTTCATTAACTTCTATTGACCTCAAAAATAAAGTTTGCTAGCAAAAATGGATTTTGTTTGGAAATAGTAGAAAATTGTGATTCGGGAGAAGCAAACTACAGCAAAAACCGTAGGCTATTTCAACAAAGAAGATGAACGTTATTTTATGGAGAAGAAGGGAGGAAGTTGGGAGGGGTTGTTTTGAAGGAAAGCCCACTGGAGAAAAGCAGTTCAGGGTGATGATGGTTAATTGGCTGAGTTGCAGGGGTAGTTGACTTATTGTAGGAGATGCAATGTCCCTCTTTTCCTGGTGGGAGTTGGAACTGATCATTCTTTCCTGTGGATTCTTCTACTGAAGGTCTGAAATTGACCCTTCTTCCTGTAATTGACTGGGAGTGGTATGGTGAGAGCTCCCCCTTCTGGCCTCCCATCTCCATTTTAGCAAGTTTCCCATTATTAATTTTTACACTTCTAACTGGAATGCAGCATGTTTTTCATGTCCTGTGAAAGCAGGTATCGGCCAGCCCTGTGACTTTGTCTCCTGTGGAAATCAAAGATAATTTCACATCATATCCTGGCCATTGCAGGCAGGCATCTCAAAATATCATTTATCACAATAGAAATCACAATCATTTATAGAGCCCTGGTGAATCACGATTACTTAACCCATTCAATTCATGAGGAAGCACATATATTTTACATCACAACTTAATAAAATATTTTCACACCCATATGTCAGGATGACTGCTTTCCTTTGCAATCCTGTGCTTTTTCTTAATGGATTTCTAGCTGTCTCCAGAGAAGGAGCCCATGGGCAGCCCGCCCCTACCCTTGGAGGCAGCACAGAATCAGGCCGCGGTTTAGGCAGATTAGTGAGGTCCTAAGCTGACCTCCTAAAGATACCTAATCCCAGACCAGCAGCCAGCCAGCAGGCCCAGGGCCACACAAAGTCCCTCGGTCGTGTCCCCAGCTCTCAGCCAGGGCTGCCATGGCCTCCCTGTTCTCCGGCCATGTCCTGATTCGCAACAACAGCGACCAGGACGAGCTGGACACGGAGGCTGAGCTCAGCCGCAAGCTGGAGAACCGGCTGGTGCTGCTCTTCTTTGGCTCTGGGTCCTGCCCGCAGTGCCAAGCCTTCGCGCCTATCCTCAGGGACTTCTTCGTGAAGCTCACAGATGAGTTCTATGTGCTGCGGGCAGCCCAGCTGGCTCTGGTGTACGTGTCCCAGGATCCCACGGAGGAGCAGCAGGATATGTTCCTTAGGGACATGCCAAAGAAGTGGCTCTTCCTGCCCTTCGAGGATGACCTGAGAAGGTGAGGTGGGAGAAGAGGTCAGGGAGGGCTTCCTGGAGGAGGAGCTATTTTTGCTGAAAGGTTTGTTTATTGTTGCCTCTGTTCCATCTGGAATTGATGAGCATGTCCTGTGTGCCCATCTGTACCCAGGCGGGGTGGGGAGGGGGCCACCCAGGGGGTGCATACGCCCATTTCTATTTAGCTCCCAAGGGGTTTACAACCTAGTTGGGGAGATAGACGTGACACAAAGACTCAAACAAATATATAATAAGAAACTGCAGTAATGATCCAGAGGACAAAGGGAGGATGCCATGTGGAAATATAATGGGGAGACCTTGCTGAGGTTTGGGGTCAGGGGATGCTTCCCTGAGGAAGTGGCTTTAGGAGGCCAATGCCTTATCCATTAGGCCACTGGGGCTTCTATGGAAGTGGCTTTAAAGAAAGACCCCAAGGGCAGGGAGGATAGGAAAGAGTGAGGAGAGGGAAGGGTTTCCAGGCAGAGGGCACAGCAGAGATAAAGGCTGGGAGGCCACCAGAGAAAGAACAGCCAGTTCAGGGAACTGTAAGTAATAACCGGATGGGAGAGGTCTGTAAGCATCATGTGGAGCAGCGCCACAAACCCCATCTGAACGGGAGTGGATGTGGTCCTCAGAGTAGCTGGGAGCCTGTGAGGGGGGCCTTGGAGCTGAGAGAGAGGTGGGTAGATTCAAGCTTTGCACCCAGCTGCCCAATAAACAAAACTACAGCTCGTGGCTATCTTAGAACCTTCCCCTTTTCCGCAGTAAGGCATCCCTTCTTTTTATTTATTTTTTTAAAGTTTTTAGATTTTATTTTTTTAAGAGTTTATTTCTTTATTTGACAGAGAGAGAGCACAAGCAGGGGTAGAGGCAGAGGGAGTGGGAGAAGCAGGTTCCCAGCTGAGCAGGGAGCCCGACGCGGGGCTCACGATCCCAGGACCCTGGGATCATGACCTGAGCCAAAGGCAGCCGCTTAACCGACTGAGCTACCTAGGCACCCCTAGATTTTATTTTTAAGTAATCTCTACACCCAACATGGGGCTCAAACTCACAACCCTGAGATCAAGAGTCACACGCTCCTCCGACTAAGCCAGCCAGGCGCCCCGGCTGTCCTTCTTTTTAAACTCGAACTTTTCATTATGAAAAATGTCCAAGATCCCACAAGTTAGAAGAAGCATACAATGAAACCCAGAGCAATCGTTAACAACTTGCCATATTTGCTTTATCTACACGCATGGGGAGCTTGCACGGAGCCATTTGAAAATGAGTCGCAGGCTTTCTGACACTTTATTGATTTCGTTAATTTTGCTCCACAAGTTGAAAGTTTCTAGAGACCTTCATTCTGCACCCAGCATTATCAGAATTTGGACACTTGCTCACTCCTTCTGCCCTCTCTGCCGCTGAGGGGGATCTTTCCTGCGAACAGGCAACATTTCCCTTCCCAGGGTGGGATGAAGCTGTGAGGGCATCAGAGACAAACTCGGACCTGCTGACCTCATTTGAGGCAGGGTCCTCTCAACAAAGCCTTCACTCGGGCTAGGTTCGGTGTCTGGACAGAGACTGAGCGATTCCCCACCCCCTTCTCCTCACCCCCCTCCTCTCCACCCTACACACACACACACACACACACACACACACACACACACACACGAGCACGCTGACGGTTCCCAGATAAAACACAGGCTGCCCAGTTAAAACCAAATTTCGCGTCAACAATGAATAATTTTTTAGTATATGTTTTTTTTATTTTTTTAAAGATTTTATTTATTTATTTGACAGAGAGGGGGAGAGAGAGAGAGAGAGAGAAAGCACAAGCAGGGGGAGCAGCAGGGGGAGAGGGAGAAGCAGGCTCCCCGCTGAGCAGAGAGTCCCACGCGGGGGCTTCATCCCGGGACCCTGGGATCCCGACCTGAGCCAAAGGCAGACAGATGCCTAACCAACTGAGCCACCCAGGCGCCCCAGTATACATTTTTAGTATAAGTATGTCCCACACAGTGCATGTTGTGATGTGATATATATTATATATAAAATATAATATAATATAATATAATATAATATAATATAATATAATATAATATATGAAATGGTGGCATGTCTGAGGTATTGGAAACACAGCGCAGAGGCCACTGCGGCCTGGCCTGGTCCCTGGGCGCCCCCAGCACACACAGTGCACACGGAAGGCGCTCAGTAAGTCCTGGGAGGGGGGATGTGTGGCTCCCCAGCTCGGGATCAGGGACCGGCTTCCGACCGGCCCGCCCGCCCACCCCGCAGGGACCTCGGGCGCCAGTTCTCCGTGGAGCGCCTGCCGGCTGTCGTGGTGCTCAAGCCGGGCGGGGACGTGCTCACCCGCGACGCCACCGACGAGATCCGGCGCCTGGGCCCCGCCTGCTTCGCCAACTGGCAGGAGGCGGCGGAGCTGCTGGACCGCAGCTTCCTGCAGCCCGAGGACCTGGACGACACCGCGCCGCGGAGCCTCACGGAGCCGCTGCGCCGCTGCAAGTACCGCGTGGACCGGGAGGCCCGCGGCAAACGCGGCTCGGGGAGCGGGAGCCCGCCCGAGGGGGAGGGCGGGGCGGAGGGCGGCGGCGCCGGGGAGCTGTTCTGACCCCTGCGGGGCGGATGCGCCTGGGGATTCTGTGCTGCAACCTCCCGAAGAGTGCCGCCCCAGACACTAAGGGGACACGGCAGAGGACACTGAGGCAGACGTCCTGGCGTTGGGGAGCAGCGCCACCCCCCAGCACGGGGGCCTCGGACCAAACAGCGGGGCTTCAGGAGATGCAAAGTGCTGCGGGGTGGGCGTGGGGGTGGGGGTGAACAAGAAGACAGGCAACCCATTCAAAACTAAGCAAAGGACCTGAAGAGGCATTTCTCCAAAGAAGATACCCAAACGACCAGCAAGCACACGAAAAGATGCTCAGCATCATCAGCCATTAAGGAGATGCAAATCAAAAAGCACCGTGAGATCCCACTTCACACCCAGTAGGATGGCTGTAATCAAAACCCAGCACATAACAGGTGTTAGCAGGGAAGTGAAGAAAGTGGAACCGTCTAGCATTGCCGGTGGGAAGGTAAAAGGGTGCAGTTGCTGTGGAAAGCGGGGTGGGGTTCCTCAGTAAGTTAAATATATTATGACCATAATTACCAGCAATTCTACTCCTAGGTATAAACCCAAAAGAAATAGGAACTCAAACAAATAACTGTGTGTGCGTGTTCTAGCAACACTATTCACAACAGCTAAAAGGTGGGAAAACCCCAAATGCCCCTCAACAGACAAATGCATAAGTAAAATGTGTTCCATCCATACTGTGGAATGCTATTCAGCCATTAAAAGGAATGAAGAACTGATACACGGTACAACGTGGATGAACCTCAAAAACATTAGGCTCAGTGAAAGAAACGGACACAGAAAGTCACATAGAGTCTGCCTCCATTTATATAAAATGTCCAGAACAGGCAAATCCAGAGACAGAAAGCAGATCAGTGGTTGCCAGGGCTTGGGGGAGAGGGAGTGGGGAGTGACTGCTAATGGGGAATGGGGTCTCCTTTAAGGATGATGAAAATGTTCCGGAACTAGACAGAGATGCTATTTGCACAACACTGTGTATGTACTAAATGCCACTGAATTGTTCACTTCAGAATGGTTTCTTTCATGCCATGTAAATGTCACCTCAGTTTTTAAAATTAAAAATAAATAAATAATAACAGAAAACGGGCCATGGGAAGAACAAAGCCCAATAGCAAAAGACAGGAGTGCCTCCTCAAGCGGGGGCCCTAAAAGGGCCTCCTCGTCCAGGAGGCGACGTTTCTGCAAAGCCTGGAAAGAAGGTTGAACGGAAGGGAAATCGCAGCCAGTTGCAAAGTCCGCAGGTAAGAGACCGAATATCAAAGTGAATTATTTAGAAATTCGTTCAAGTTTCCTTTTTTTTTCTTAAACAATGAAACAGGTGCTTAGGGCAGTGGGTGGTGTGGGGGTCGCTTTAACGAGTTTAGGGGCTTGTGGGGCTCCCTGGATCCGGCCTCCGAGCCCTTGCGGCTCTTGGGGCGGCCTCTGTCCCTTCTTCGCCCCGCCCCGCGCCGGCCCCGCCCGGCCAGGACCTGGAGGCCGGGAGGGGGCGCCCGCTGGGTCCCCGGAGGGAGGAGAATACTTTGTCCCAAGTTTTCGCGGAGTTTCCTCGTCCCCCACCGCGATCCGCACACGAATCCCTCTACGGTCCCCACCGCGATCCGCACACGAATCCCTCTACGGACACCCCTTGCCGTCCCGCCCTCTTCGGAACTCCTGGGAGCCCTTGGACGCCCGCCCAACTCCCCTGCCCCGTTAAAATCTCTTCTATTCCTCGACTGCCCCCCCCTTACCGCGACCCGCAGACCCCCGCTATGGCCCGGTCGTACGGCGGCCGGGTGCTGGCCGCGATGACCCTGCTGGGCATCCCCGCCGCCGTGCTCGCGGCGCTGGGAGCGCAGCTGCTGTTCCAGCTGCAGGCGGGCCGCGCGGAGCTGCGGGGACTGCGCGCCGA